GCTGGCTTGAATGGGGAACATGTCAGATCTCCTCACAGGCGAGGAGGGTGACAAGATTCTATCCCCTGAAAAGATGGAAATGACAGAGCTTCCCTTTACAATCCCTGTCTGTGTAAGGGGTCAGAGAGGACTGTGCTGTATCTTGACACATCACAGGATGGAGACTGGGGGAGGGGAAAAAGATATCCTTCATTGCTTCAGTTACAGAAGGAAAATGGTGTCTCCTGAAAATGCTGAAAAAGCCTTCCTGCTCAGAGGGGGACAGGCACTTGCTACACAGATTTGCAAATAAAGGCAGGAAGTTCAGCAAAACTCCTCCAAACTCATAGCTTCTTCTCTGATACTTCCCCTCACCAAATACTTTAATAAACTGAGAAAATTTTAAAATAGATAACCTGGACTCCACCTGAGATCCCATCACTATGCTGTAGCCTCTAATACTTCAGCTAATGGGCTCTGGAGGCACCATGCTATAGACAAAGGTGGGAGAATTTTAATGATTAATCAGCGAACTCAACATAACAGTAACTTCAAAAAATAAAACAGATGTGGTAGAGGTTTTATTAATTTGGTTTGGGGCTGGTTGAGGGTTTTTTGCTTAGTTTTGGGGGTTTTTTTTCTACTTGTTTCATTTTGGTGTTTTGTTTGGTTGACTTGAGTTCTGGGGTTTTTTTTTTCTGGCAAGGCGATGCACCCCCATTAACTGAGTACTCTTTTTCAAAACCAGAACATCAGAAGTACAACATATTTCCTGAACTTGCTAGAATAAACATACATGGCCCCCTCTGAAGCATTTTCATCAGGGTGCTTCTCTGCTGTCAGTGCATGTGACTTCCTACTTAATTAATCTAAAAGGTCTATAGAAACCAGCATCTCTAATGTTGGCAAGTATCCTGGGAAGACTAGGTCCAAAGAGTGGTGCCATGGATTGAGGCTGTCTCTAAAAGTTCATATTCCTGCTATATTTACTGTATGTATATATCTTTATTGAATATATTTGTTTGCTGTCCTTTCAGTCTGTGAGTGAGAATATACTAGAGTCTGTTCCAGGGTATATAAATATTTTCCTGGACATGAGTTAGTAAAAAATGATCATCTGAAGAGATATTCAGAGTGAACCCAACATATGCTGACAGGTGCAACCACAAACACAAATAGCATAAGCATCCTCACCCTGCTCCTCTCCCCAGCAGAGCAGCATTGAGATCCACTAGTGAGGATATATATTTGTGTAGACATGTACATTGTGGCTCCCTCCATCAGCTGGGCTCATACACTCAGTTTGCCATGTAGCTGCCCCTGGATCCCAGTCTCCTCAGTTTCTGGCATCTGGACATGTAAGACTCAAATTTTTGCCTGCATTGGTGGGTTTCTCACGTGGACAGTAGGAGTGAGGCTCTCCTAGAACAACTCTGGAAGGAACCTGGATATGGTTCCTTCTGAACCATTATTTGGGAACTTGCCTTAGTGCACTCCTGCTCCTCAAGGCCATTAGACATGGGCCTTGGACACTCTGATGGCTCCTGCAATAGCCTGGAAGCAGCCAGGGCCAGGATATTATTTGGGCTCTCCCACCTGCCTTCATCTCTCTGTGCTCCTTGTGGATGTACAGATGAGCTTTTATCACATAATTTAATGTGAACAGTCTGGTTTCCACAGTGGTAGCCTCTCAGCAGCTCTCCTGTATTACTCTGCGCTACCTACCTTGGCTTCCAGCATCTCAGCTGCCTCAGCCAACTGGGGCTGTATGTTCCTGAACCCCATTCAATCTCCAAGCAACACTCCTTGTAAGCTGCCCAAGAGCATGCACAGGCACTTGGCCATTGTTTCCTGGGCACTTATTTGAATATTTCACTGCTTTAAGATGAAAAAATACCATTGCTTTCATTTGCATTCAGCAAGTGCTCTTTTCTGACAAGGAATATGGCAGGATTGCAATACAGGGAGAACAAGTCTTGTGTTCATCACAGAAAGCAAGGATCATTGAACTCTCCGATTAATCTGCCCCTCTAGAGACTATATATTATAAAAATTCAAGCATGATGCAGATTACCTGTCTAATATACAACTAGAATGTGAAAGATTTTGACATACACCAGGTCACTGAGAGTGAATAAGAACTGTTGTATTCAGCTTAATGCAAACATCAGCTTTGCCTTTTCATGTCTTCAGTCTTCCTGAGGCTAAAGTCCTTTGCAAGGACAAAAGTTTGTGTTGTGTGGACTAATCAGAAGCCTCAGTCATTTGAAAGATCGTCTATGCAAGGAACAGTGAAATCTCTTCTTTTTGTGTGTTGGCTTTGGTGGAGAATTGTGGGAATCAAAACCTACAGAAACCATTAGTGGAAATGTATTTCTAAAAGAAAACATAATAGTGATGAGCCTATTATATTCTTTGAATCAAGCTCCTACTGATGTAAGCCTGAGTGGGGATATATTTGATTTTCACAGTTGTATTTTTGCACTACAGAGTCTTTTGCAAAACATAAGCTTTTGGATTTGTTATGAAGGACAAGATCTCTTATTACTTAAAAAAAAAAAATTATAACTAGAAGATGAGAATTAAGCAAACAGGATAAAAAAGTCTCAGAATAAAATGAGTTGCTTTGGTAATGAGAAGCATTTGAATGCATAGGTTCATAGTTCGTAGAATGAAAATTCACATCTGGCTGTAGTTAAAATGAAGGGAGCTTACATTCTTAATCAAGGAAACTCATATAAGGCTCTGGAACAAAAGTCTTTAAAACAAGGCTGAATTTGGTATTTCTCCAGGTTGTATTTCTTCATCAGTTTCTTCTATTTCACTTTTGCAGATTATGTAAGTAATTTCTTCTGTAAACTTACTATTATTACTGTATATTTTGCTTTTCAAATGTCTTCATTTTCCTGCTGACATAAAGGGTATAAATTGACCCCAACTAATAATTGTTCAACGGTAAGCACTTTTAGAGCCATTAGTGGACTAACATCCTCTAACATTTTAGCTACTAGCATTTGCAAAATTGCTATGGTGAAAAATGTAGTTCAGGTAAAAAAAAAAAAAAACAAAACAATTCTATTTTGCTTAACCACTCAGCATGGTTCCAAAAGGATATTTTTGCCAAAGTCAGTGCACAGTGCCCTTTTCTCTGAGTAAAGGTATCTTTAGTAAAACATAAGTATACAGGGAAGTCTGACCTCTCTTTGATCACAGTACCTTATGAATACCTACTCAAATTACTATTAAAACAGATTTGAAGTATCATAGTGTCCACTTACTGAAGAAAAGATGAGGGTAGGCCCAAGGGAACAATCTGTAGCACAAAATGCCTGGGGCTTGCTTCATCTTCTTTTTGGTCATTGTGATGAAGTAAAGCATTCCTAAAGGCAGTGTGATGTCTCCCCTTAAATTCCTCTGCCCAGCAGTGCAAACCCATCAGACATGGCCTAGCTCTGCTTTGACTCATGCAGAGAACCTGAGGGCAATGGCATTGGACCTAATGTCCCAAAGGTAGCTATAGCAGCTTTTGAGTGTGTCCATCCCTCTGATTTTGTAATAAGCAAAGCCAGATGGGAAGATTTGATCCATTTTTTTTCTCTTTCACTAGAACCAGTTGACAGACTACATCATGATCTTTTTTGTGCATGTAACAGTTTACAGACAGGGATCTGAATACGTAGAGACAATGACTCTGTTACGAGAAGGTATTGCTAGTAAACGTAGCACCAATGCAGACCAGCCTCCAAAAGATTTAGGTCGCAGATTTTTTTTATGATATTTCATCTTTCTCAAAGAGACTTAAATCCCTGATATGCCACAGGATCCCCTTCCGGGGCGTCCTCTCATAAATGTGTAGTTAGAGAGGTTAGTTTCTATTCTACTTTACTAAGCACCCTGTATTGCCCAAGGAGAGAGGATTGGGGGGGCAGGGGGAGGGAAAGAGGGAGAAAGAGAGAAATGGAGGAAATAGTGTGGGAAGGAGTGGGGGAGAGAGAGATGCTCTCCATCATTTTTCTCTCTCCATTGCTTGTATGGAGACAGATAAGATATATGAATATCCTACCAAACACTTGACTTAGAGCCTAAAGCCAGACACAGTCACTAGTCCAAGTCAAAGGATAAGTGCTTAGACTAAGCTTGCTGCATCCTTCATTACCTTCCAGAGCAGGTATTGCTCTCAGATAGAAGGTGGTAATTAGCAACATAACCTTTGGCTGAGCTTGGAGCGAACTGTGGAGGTTTTCTTCCTACAGAGCAGGTCTGAATATCACAAGACTGGTGGCAGTCAGCAACTGAGAGGTACTGTTGAGTGTGCTCCTAAGTTGCCCATTTGCTGCATCACATTCCAATTGCAGAAGAGAGATTTTTAGGGTATGCTGTTTCACCACCAGCACTCAAGGTCCCGTGGTGTTTCAACGCCTCAGATACTCTCATGCAGACGCAGTCATGGTTAAGGCTTTTATAATTTAAATGGAAGTTAAATCAGAGTTCAGACTCTGCTCCTGTCCATGACTTAGTGCACAGTGTAAATGTTGCTGCACTTCTGCTAGGTCAAAGACCTGTAGAGGAATGTGATGGAGAGAAATAACAGAAGGAAGAGAGACTGACTCTAAAGTTTTGTTGCTAAATTTACATCCGACTTTAGAAGTTGAAAGATAAATGAACAAGCTAGTGATCTTGTTTCAGAAGTCTGTTTTTGGATTATAAGGTTTGCATTAAATGTAAAAATACTTTTTTAATTGTGTGGGAGAAAGTGTCATCTCTTCATAAAAATATAGGAAGAATGTTGATGGCAGGAAAAATTTTTTTTTACAAGCAAAAATAAAGCTTATGTTGATATTATTCATGTAATAATAATACCTGACAGATAATCCTCAGTGTATTTGAAATCCGTAATTAAACAGAGTCATGTTACCCTAGTTGTCAAAATAATTATTGTCTGTCTTGTTGCAGTGGTGTTTGAAATTGGTTTGAGGGGACTTTGCTTAGCTTTGACTCTTCTCTCTCCTCTTTCTTTTAAGGTCAACTCAAATCAAAACATACTCTTGGGATAATGCCCAGGTTATTTTGGTTGGCAACAAATGTGACATGGAGGATGAACGGGTAATCTTCAGTGAGAGGGGCAAACATTTAGCAGAGCAACTTGGTAAGAAAAGACATGACAAAAGCTTTATGATTGCTTGTGAGAATGCGCAAGTTAATTTCATTAATTGCTACAGTACTTGTAATTAAATGTTTGTGACACATTTACTGTAGAGGAATAGTCACACATTGCCTCCCTTTTGGCATATCCTCTGTGATGTGGAGCAAGATCTGTCATGTGTCTGTATATATACAAAATATTTAGGTAGTTATAGCTAAAGGCAAATATGTCCTAGAAAGGGGAAAAAAAAAATAAAAATTCAAACAATTCAACAACGACAAAAAGAGGAAAGGAGAAATTAAAGAAACAGCTTACGCAAAATGTGAACTAGACCTTTTTGCAAGTTGAGAACACTTGGGTTATGATTACCACTTCCGGTAGCCAAACCAGAAAGAGAGTCTGAGTAAGTGCACATGAATAGTTGCATATGAAATCTGAAATACAGTTTCTCCATTTATTTTGGACATTCTACTGTGCATGCAAATTAGGTATTTCAGGTTTTTTTAGTTCTTTGGTTTCTCAGGTGCTTCTGTACAAAATCCTGTTTGCTATCTGTGTGTTACAAATTATTTCAACAATCAGCAGTTTTTAATTGCAAATACTGTCAATACAAAATATCTTGAAGTCCTGACCCCCTATGGTTGCTGCAAAAGTACAATCCTGCCACAGGTCCAAATGATGTCTATTATGCTGATGCTGCACCAGCACTAGGGAAATACTGCAAGACCTGCCTCAAATGTCTGACCACCTTTTCTGTAAGATCTTGTTTGTCCTATCCCCCCTTTTTGTCTTAGATTGGCTAAGGGTCTGGGAAACTGAGTACTTTTATCATTGAAGTCTTGGTTGGAAGGGAACTCTGCTGATCACCTAGTATGATGACCAACTAAAATATACCCCTGGCTCTATGTACCATCCATCAGTTTTCAGAGCAGTGCTCTTCCCTTCAGATTTTCTGTGCCTCCAACATTTCTTATGCTCTGCCACCCAGGATCACCCATGGCTGGGGTCATTCTGCATATCTGAGTATGACCTGGGGTGCACTTGCCTGTTTTCTAAATATATCCTGGCATGCTGTCTCCCCTAGAGGCCGACAACTAATGTTAGAAAACAAAACAAAATAGGACCTCTCGGGGTAAGCTCTCACATTCCATTCTGCAAGGTGTGGCAGAAGCCAGCCCTCATACTGTACTCAGGGCACCTGAACAGGGTTCTAAATATTATGTGTCCAAGGTGAGCAGTGCTTGTGACTTCAGTGCACCTCCACAGCTTGTCACTCAGAGAGTCATTTTACCTCTCAGATATAAGCACATACCTTATCCATTATGGTGTGCTTTTCCTTTCTCTATCCCTTCTCTTCGCATCTCTTTTGGGCCATTTCTCGCCTAAAGTCTCTCTTCCTTTATTTCCTTCCTTCTTTCCTTCTTTCTTTCTTTCTCTCCTGCTTTCCCTCTTTCTCTCTTTCCTCTCTTCCTCTGTTTCTTTCTCTCTCTCTCTTTCTGTCCTTCTCATGATTTCCCATGCTTTGAAAATAAATTTCACCAAAAACAAGAAGCAAAATTCTCACTTTAAACCAAAACCGTCCTTCCCTGCCTATTTTATTTTCATTTTGTTCTTGGCTCAGATATTTATGTATGTAACAGTCATGGTGAGGAGACACCGCAGACCCAATTGAGCGGTGATTAGATTTCTTCAAATTATACTCATTTAGCATGCCAGTAAGCCTGAAAGTATAGCATTTGTTAGTGTTATGTGCTTATACAAGGAGCAATTCCATGTGATCTGACCCAGTCTGCAAGAGGAGACCAGCTGCTGAGGTGGGGCAGGAACATGACAGGTTTCTGAATCCTGGCAGGACTGGGGCAGAAGGCAGCAGCTCCCCAGCATCAGGACTGGAGTGCACATTCACTTGCCTTGGGGTATGAGCCCTTGGGGAATAATGTGTACCTTAAGCATCTATGGGTGCACTGCGGGTACTAGGCAGCTGTGAGTTTAGGCATTGAGCTGAAGGGCATTTTTAGGCCTCTATATTTGGCATCTAAATCAGGAACCAAGTGGGGGTTGACACATCAGCACACAGCTTGCTAGAACAGCTAGTTCTCTTTTGACTCCATGGCTGACTGGAGGCTGTGGTGCACAAGGCAGGGTCACCCTCAGCATAGAGAGCATGGAGATATGGCTGCATCTAACTTTACACTGAAAATGAAAGTAATTGTGTTATGCAGGAACCTGCCTGTTCATACTTGCATCCTTCACTGTTTTTTAGCTCTTTTTAAAAGGCAAATGTTAATACCAGAGGAAAGAGACAGACTGACAGCACTGAAAAACACCAGTCTCCTATTTAGTTACAACACACCCAGGCTATTGGCAGAGCAATTAAAGACTTCTGTCCCCAAGATGTCTTTTAACTGGGAGAAGTGTCAATCTGCCATTCCTTTCACTTACTGGTAACTGCATTACAGCAAAGTTATTTAACCACACTGCACGCGTTTGCTCAATGTCTTCTATAAACAACCAAAAAAATTCTTTGTCAGAAATCTAATTTATTGCCCAAATGCACTCATTTAAAGGGTATCTAGAAACTGCAACCAAAATCAGTACAACTGGAATTTAAATAAAATCTTCTATTCTGAAAAGACTGGAAAAAAAAGGTGTTTGCTAGAGCATAACTAGTAACAGTCCCTCAGGTCTGTCTATTTTATCACAGCTGACAGTCCCTGTTTAGCTTCAATTTTGTTAATAAATTTGGCCATCCAAATCCAAATACCTTAGCATTTCTGTTAGTAGTCTTTACACTAACTCTGTCTAGAATGGTGCTAAAACACTGGTCTTCGCTGAGTTAATATGAGCAGAGTCCTGTTTTGAAGCTTAATGGTGTTTTAGTACTTTTCTTAACATAGTCCAGCTCTTGGGCTTGTATAGACAGCAGATGTCCTGCCCTGTCTGGTCTACAGAGCAACATGCAGCATAATCAGATCTGCTGCCATAGTTGCTGGTGCAGGAAATACTTTGAGGAACAGCAATGGTCACCACGTACTTTCAGTCCAGTTTCCTAGGAGAAATGACCTTTGCAGTCATGCCACATGTTTCAGTCTCTCTTTGTCTAAAAGGTATTGACACTTCTGAGGAAGTGGATATTGGAGCAGAGGAGGAAGGTCTTGCAGTTGCCTTGACTGGCAGCCTGCAATGTGAATGCAAACCTTATTAGATACTATTCATAGCAGGCAGGAAGGTAAGGGCCTGCCAGGGGCCCCCGCAGACCTGCTTGCAGGATGCAAATCCAAGAAAATAAGGCCTTATTAGCTCCTTTCCTTTATACACTTTGACACTGTTAAATTATTCATTCCCATATACATATGTATATATATATATGTATAAAAAATAGTTTGCCTTTTATATACCACTGTTACAAAAGGAGCAGCTTCCTGCAGCCTTTTTTTGCTGTGTTGTTGCAGTCTTCTATTACTCCTCACAATACTGGGTTGAAATAGGCACTAAGATTAAAGAGCAGCACTAAGGATCACATTTAAAGCTTGTCTTCACAGAAGGATAGTTATTGCAGGAACACACCCCTGAGGACATCTGTAAAACATAATGTAACATTGAGAGTGGTAAATGAAATTGTCTTGGTTGTGAATAAACACACTGAAATAAAAATGTCTTCCTGATTAACTGGTGAACATTAACATATCTGTGTTGTCTGTGGAATTGCGCTTAAAACTTGCTATCTAGTACATCCTCTTTATGTCACATTTTCTTAGGAAGATGAGAGGGTGCAGAATGTTCTAGCCTTTGCATATGACTGGTTTCTAGGCTTTTTGCTTCCTTATGTTTTAAAAGCAAACATAAACCAGGTGTTAATGAGCAGTCATGAAGGAGCCTCTGAAGAACCAGCACAAGTGTGAGACAGAGAGGGAACAAAGTCAGATATTCTGGGTGTTTGTATGCTTCAGGGAAGCTATCTAAACTGCTCTATGTGCATTACAGATCACCAGGTGAACAACAGCATCATGCCAGTACCCTGTCAAGCCCTGTAGTGGGTTGACCCTGGCCAGATGCCAGGCACCCACTAATGCTGATCTAACACCCTCCCTCTGCAACTAGATACAGGAGAGAGAAAAAAGGAAAAAAAAAAAAAAAAAAAAAAAAACCAGGTAAAGATTCATGAGTAAAGATAAGAGCTGGTAGAGATCACTTGCTCATTACCTTCACGGGATAAATAGACTCAAAGTGGGGATAATACTTAAATGTATTAATAGCAGGATAAGAGCCAAAGAGTAAGAAATAAAACAGTCTTAAAAACACGTTTCCCCCACCCCTCCTTCCTTCCATGTTCTCCCTTCTTCCACATCTCCCCCCACCCAGTAGTGCAGGAGGACACTGGGATGGGGGTTGAAGTCAGTTTCTGCTGCTGCTAACACGAATCCACCCCTCAGGCAGCAGTTCTTCCCAATCTGCTGTCCTGTGGATCACTCCTCCATGGGAGTGCACTCCTTCACAGATGAGCTGTACTGACGTGGGTCCCCAACAGGGCCACAAGTCCTACCTGGGAAAAACCTGCTTCAGCGTGGGCTTCCCTCTCCAAGGGCCATGGGTCTCCTGCAGGACCCCGCTCCATCCGGGGCCTCCCACAGGGTAACAGCCTCCTTTATGCATCCACCTGCTCCAGCATGGGCTCCTCCATGGGCTGCAGGGAGGTCTCTGCACGCCAATGTTTCTCCACAGGCTGCAGGGGCCTCAGCTATGAGTCATTCCCCTGCTCCTGTGGGGTGCCTGCTCCCCCTCCTTCTGCAGGGACCTTGGTGTCTACATTGTTATCCCATGTTCTCACTCCACTCTTCCCTGGCTGGAATTTTTTCTGTGCAGTGCTCCTCTATTCTTAAAGATGTTATCACAGAGGCATTACTATTACTCCTAATTGGCTCGGCCTTAACCAGCAGCAGGAAGTCTGTCCTGTCATTGGCTCCATAGGACTGGGGAAGCTTCTAGCAGCGTCTAACAAAAGGTACCCCTCTAGCCCCTCCGCTACCAAAACCCAGCCACAGAAACCCATGCCAAGCCCTGCTGCTGTAATGCTCTCTAGGAGCTGGTAGCTTGCCAGCTTTCGTTGAGTCAGTAGTAGGGAAGGAGGCAGGTAAGGGAAAGAATCAGCAAGGGAAAAGTGAATTAAACACAAAAGATGCACTTAAATTAAAATTTCCTGATGCATGTTCCACACACTTTGTACGAATGTCTGGACAACACTCTGATGTTTTGGATTTTCTTAGTTTCAGCTCTGTTCTGCTCTACCTACCTACTTGCCTCTTGGGCTTTGTCATGTCTTTGCAATAATCTGCTATACCCATTCTCATCCACATCAGCACTACAGATCATCACAGGTGATGGGATCATGGTGTTCTTTGAGGTCTGCTTCTCTAAGCATCACCAGATAGTTGCCTCACTTCACAGTAAAACTCACATGGAAAATCTCCATCAATAATGAGCAGTGGAAAAAACCCTCATAGAACTGAGGCCTCACATACAGGAGTTTAGAAGTTTAGGGTGTCTAAGCACTCTTAGTAAAATAATTGCAAGATGAGTCAGGAGGGAAGGAGAGGTCATGGAGAAAAAGATCTGCAAAATATTCCATAACAAAATGAAAACAGTCAGAATTCAGGTGTTTATCAGGAGGGAAGGAGAGGTCATGGAGAAAAAGATCTGCAAAATATTCCATAACAAAATGAAAACAGTCAGAATTCAGGTGTTTATTACAGGCACACTCCACTAAGAAAAATGCTCTATGTCTCTTAGGAACTTTTCCACAGAGAGTGTTTCAATATAACAAACAAAAAGAACCAATCTAATTTATAGGGAGGTTTTGTATAAGTTAATTTCCAAGGCTGTCCAAAATTCCCACCTGTACAGTTCCTGTAAAATGTTTGCTTTGTTATGGAGGCAGCTGGGAGATGAGCCACTTTTTCACAGGTCAGTGAATGGTCTGTTGTATGCAGCTGAGTCTAGCTGGAAGTTCCAGGCACTAAATGTCTAAGGAGATGGAATACCATCATAGCCTGATACCTACCTACACTACTACTATGATTGCAATTTCTTTCTTATATCAAAATTGTATCTAAAATTTCGTGGAAATCACCATGCTGTAGTGTCTATTTTTATTTTATTTGAATAAATTAGTTTGTGCCTGGGACTCTGTAACCCTCTATTTGACTTGGAGAATGCCTTAAGTTTTTCATGATGTTCTTATGCAAAACATCCTCACCATGACAGTGGGCCTATTTTCTTGGTCCTATCCATGTTAGATGTTTCACAAAATGGGTCTTCTCTCTTCTTTGTGACTCTTTTCACTTTCTGCTTTTCTCTGTCCAGATCTCTTACCTAGCTATGACATCTGCCAGTTACTGTCTTCTTAACTATAAAAACTGCTTCACTCATAAATATCCTTAGGATTTATTCTTCTTCCTATCATCTTCTCCAAGGCTGGACCCAAACTGGACCCAAAGCCATCAAAATTCTCTATGAGAATGTGGGTGCCATTTCTCAGGCATCCACTCATTGTCACTCAACCCTTCTGCCCAAAGCATTCCTAACTTAAGCAAATATCAAATTGCAAAATTTTTTCCGTGTCTTGCTTGGATTTTTAGCTTTACTTTTCCAAACGCAGTTTTCTATTTTGGCACCAGCTATTTCCAGCTGAATAATACTCCGAGGATCATAATAGTTAGAGATGGAGCAGCAGATTATTCCTTCCCAATGGCTGCATATATAGGGTGTTTCTAAAATAATACCTCAAAACAGTATGAATTTTTAGATTAGACTGTTTTAAAGTAGAGTTTATCTGAGGGAATATATTTGGAGCAGTCTTGACATTATCTGGCTTTATATAAAGCAAATAGCACTAGTATATTTAATCTGATTGTGTTAAACTTTTAATTGCTCTTCTTTTATGTGTGCTTTCACATGTTTCCTTACTGAATGTCTCTCAACTCTTCCTTGGTCAAGAGAAGTTAGTATATTTGTTGGAGAAACTGAAATATGCATAGAACATAAACGTGTTGTTTATTTTCTTAGGATTTGAATTTTTTGAAACAAGTGCCAAGGAAAACATTAATGTCAAGCAGACATTTGAGCGACTTGTGGATATCATCTGTGACAAAATGTCAGAAAGTCTGGAGATGAATGCCACCACTGCTGCCAACAACCAGAATACACGGCTAAAGGACACTCCTCCTCCACAGCAGCCCAACTGTAGCTGTTAATGCAGCTATCAGCAAAGGCTCCAGTGTGTTCTGTTGCCAGGAGTTTTTCAGAATGTTTATGAATGGTCTATATGCCTTTTTTTTTAATACTGTCTTATTAATTTTTTTGGCAAAACAGTCTTATTTTATGTCAGCAGTAGTTTGAGTATGCGTATGAAGATGGAACAGTTATTAGTCTGAAAGGATGATCCATATTTTAGCATCTGGCTTTTCCATGCCGGCTGGCTATTAATTTTTCTTTTTCTTTTACTGTTTTACATCACAATTACTTCAGCTGGTGCCATGTCATCAGACCATATTTGCCTGGAATTGTCTCTCACTCATCACTTTCAAGCTATATAATCAAATCTATAGGGTAGTGGCCAGGCTGTTTTAGAATAAGCTTCCTGATGCTACTTATATATCCTCCTGACTGAAAATGAGTTTAGAAGTATCCTTGTAGTGAGACAATCCCTCATTCTGTCCAGGTCATTTGTATAAGGGACACTTCCTGGAGCATATTACCTTGGCAAATCTACACTCGTTATAATGTTACACATCCGGGCTGATTGGAAACTGCAGAAGTTAGAAAGAAGTTAGTTCCTGGACCCAAAGCCACCAGAATTCTCTGTGAGTTTCCAATTGGGTGGTATTCATACATACCCTCAGAGATAATAGATACTTCATTCTGTCTGGATAGCTAATGTGTTTACTTTTCCATGGGAGCTGCATGTCTATCTAATAACTTTCTGAAACTGGGCTTAATTTCTCATTCCATCATTATGGAGATTCCAGTCTTACCTACCCCTGGAGTGGAGGACTGATTAACTCTTTCCATTTCTACCTGCGTGAGATATTAACCACAATGTTCTGTTTAATCACTGACAGAGCCAAATACATTGTGCCTAATTGTTCATAGCCAAGAATTTCCTTATTATGTTGCTGTCAAAAATTCATGCTTTGATTTTCAGGAATTTAATCTCCCATTCAGTCACTGAGACAGCCACCACTGGCTACAAACACCTGTACTTTTCTCAGACTTGTTGCAGAAGAGCTGATGGTGTCAGTGAACTGAAGTTTGACCTCATTTTTTCCATCTATTTTGTCAAGAGAATTTGAATTTTTAAAACTTTAGGAGTAATAAAAAATTGTCAACAACATTTCTAGTCTTAGGCTGAATACATTAATAAGATGAGCAAAAGGCTGTGAAGATTGCAGAATAAAGTACACAAATTATTTTTAATAAAGTGTTAAAATAGTCATATTTCACAGTTTTTACTCCTTTAAGTATATGCTTAGATCTGTGCCCTGGAGTACTTTGTACAACTGCTTTACTTGCATTACAATGACATTTTTTAACTAAACAATGTAATTGAAGAAGCACTGACTATTTTGTTATTCCAGTTAGGCAGAATTTAGGATAAGGCTGATATTTCTTAAACTGTCCGCAGTGGGAAAAGGAAGACATATTAAAAAAAATAGAAGTAACATATGGTACTCCAAATGGCTCATAACTGTAAAGAAATTCCTCTACATACTTTATGTTATTTGAAGGTAATTTATATAACTCTTGATATACAATAAGAGAAAATTATCCCTTTTTTAAATCTAATTAAATAATCTACCTACACTTTGACACAGTTAAAATTCCTTCCAAACAAGGCATGTAGACATATGTAAAATGGGTATGCCATGAGGGTGCCTACATTGGCTGAACAACTTAAACGAGTAAATATTCTTTGTTCAGACTGGGGTTTTAAACCATGTCTGTCCTGTTAGCTAGTTTACTTAAGCACTTTTTTCTTAATAGACTTGGACACCATAAAGAGAAAGCACTATCCTCTTTAGGGCCGATGAGCAGTCAAGTGGAAGAGGCATGTGCTATCCAAACCACAATCCTGGCTCTCTCTGGGGTGCTGCTTTTCCCTCCCTCTAAGGCAGTGTGTTGCTAACTGTCCTGAGAGACTTTCATTAGTACCTCTTTACCCACTACCATTAGTACTCCTTTCTACCAGCTGAAAAAAAAAAAAAAAAAAAAAAAAAGAAACAATACAAAGTTGAGGAAGCTTAGTTTGAAACAGTGGGCAGTTTTCCATGCTTTTATTGTTAATGTGCAGTTATTCCTGCTGGAGAAAAAGGATCAGGAGACCCTTGAGACAGAATTCAGCTTTCAGCTCTCAAGTGATTTAGAAAAATGTTACGTTGTATTATTACTCTGAACCATCTCAGGCAAGGTGAGGAGAGAGAAGGACATAATCTCATCATCTATGAGCTTGGGCATATCCTGCAGATGGCTAAAAATGCAGGTATTCTTCCAGCTTTGCTCTAGGATGCTTGCTGCAAAATTGTCATCTCTTGTGCACAATGAAACAAAGAAAAAAAAACCTTCAAGATGCCCCTTACTGTAGCCACAGTATGCTTGTATTCCATTGCAGTGAATTTAAGACCCTCCCTGCCTCAGTATAACCATGTAGACTCTAATGATGGAAATCGATTATTAGTGTATATCTTTTTAAAAAATCTGAGTGGTAGGTAAAGAGCTCTTTACATAAATGCGATTAATTAATTCCTTTTCATTTTGCATGGGCAGAAGAGGAACAGCAAAGTCAGAGGGCGATACTTCTCTGCTTCATGTTTCTGAGACAACTAACCTCCTAGGCCTCCACACGTTTGGCCTTCTGCATGGGGTGGGGAGGAAGGGGGAAGCAGCTGCCATAGTAATGTTGTTCCTTAGAGTACCAAAAATGTCTTAAAAATTAAAAACTCATCTAAAGTACAGCAACAGAACCAGTCAGTATTTGAAATCTAGGAATTCTGTGTTGACACTGACATTTTTGTGGAGTTCAGAATTAGATTAATTTTAAAAATTTTCTAATAAAGTATTTGGAGTTTTTAAATATCAGACTGTTTAAAACCCTAGGTAAACTGCACAGACTTCTCAGTTGATACTGTTTTGAGTAGAAGGTTGGGAGGTGTGACCAGCTGAAGTCCCATCAAACCCAATTTATGTTATCATGACTTTCTCTGAAATTGAAAATGTGTGAAAGTTCAAGTAAACCTTTTCTTAACAATTCAGGTTACCTACTATTGGAAAAGTAGGCTTTGATTTTCCATCAGAGGTTGGCTTTTGCAGCCACATGCTTTACAGAAATACTGAGTTTTTGCTATAAAACTTGGTCACAAGTAGATTATGAGCATCATGATCTCAGTACCACTCTCAGCTGGAACTTAACTATTGTAGAGAAACACTAAAGACAGAAAAGCTTTTGAAAAGTCACTTACTATCCCTTCCCCAAACATTCTAAGAATTCTGAGGGGACTAGCAGTATTGGAATTTTTATTCTATTTAAAATGATGCCTTGGCTTGTAATAGGATTGGGCATCCAAAACCAGTCTGTGTCAATCTGGCTTGAATCCTCTTGACTTTTGTGGTAGAACTGCAGTTTTTCTTAAATTTAGGTAGGCTGAACATTTTGGGAAAACCCATCACAGCTTGATCAAGGGCCTAAATTTAAACAATCAATGTCTTGTTCTTCACACATATCTAATAGTCATAGATTATGAGTTGTTGGAAGAGACAAGCAGGTTTTGGTTGTATCCCTGATCTGTCCTCTAGCGTGGCAGAATTCCATCTAGAGCAAGTACCAGGCTACAAAGCACCATATTTTACTAATGGAAGAGGGGATGGATTATTAAACTGAAGCCTGGGATAACAGATCCCAAACTACTTTCAGCCTCACCACAAATCTTGGTGAAAAAGTACTTGTACACCTTGCACTAATTTGTTGTTACTCTCAGCACAGAAATAGAACCGAATATCACAGTCTAGCCACAGATACCCCCCTTCAGCTGAGATTTATTCATTTGGTGAGATACAGCAGTTGACACACAGAGCATGTTAAATTTCCGAGATTAGTTAGAGTTCTGAGCTCCATAGTGCCAGCTGAACTAATACTACACAACCCGTTTTCCAAGTTAAGATCTAGATTAAAGCTTATAGCAGCAGGCTAATTCTGTGCATGGCACCAGCCTTATCATGCTCTGATAGAGTGTTGCTTGTTGTACCTTCAAACTAGTGCTCAGAAAATGCCTTGGGAGCATTTTGGAGCATGGGATTGACTGGTTCCTGCAGTGTCTCCTGGTAACAGCCTGTCAAACAGCTACCAAGCCCTGCTGGGTGGAACCTTTAGATGCATGTTTCAGTTTCTTTTAAGAGTTCATGTTCACAAGGTCTAAGTGCAACTAACCTAATGCTGTAGCTTTTATTTTTATTGGTGGTGATTAGACCAATTTATTTATACTTTATTTATACTTGTTCATTTGCTTGTTTAAGTGCATATGAACTATCCTGATTTTCTGTCAAAAAATACTCTTTCTCTCTGAACAGCTGTGTGTCTGTTGCCTGGAGGTGTTTGTTCCTTTGTGCTTATACTTATTGTAATGCCTAGACAAACTACCTGAGCAACTACATCTATGTGGCCTTTTCCAGAGCACCAGTCTGAAAGATTAAGTTTTCTTCCCAGTCTGCGCAGCTCTGTATATTCATCTGTACCACCTTCTTTATTTTAGAAATGAAATGCTATTTCAGGATGCACAAAATTTGCTAGAGTTTTATCCTGACTTTGAGGACGCTTTGAATTTGACATTTTTAAGAAAAAAACAGTCGCAAAAATTCTACATTTGATGTGGATGCATTTGTTTTGTTTGTAGCAGATGAATCATGCCGTAATTGCATTCAAAAAGAAGCCCTCTCCCAAACTTCACTCCTCTCCAACTACTCTTTTTTTATATTTGTTTGTGAGAGGTAAGTTTTATTATTTGCATTCTTATAGGCATCAGCTAAATTTCTGTTCTGCTGACAGAGCGATTCCTTCTTGGCCTGTTTTATATAGACACACAGTGTATAAGCCTAATTCTTGTTTAGGATGACAGATAACGTGACATCATGAGTTTGAACCCTCATAGATGAACCCTCAGGGTGTAAAGCATTATGTCTTCACCTATGCCAACAGGGGAGTAAGTTGTGTTAATTTACACCATTTAATCCATACATTCTGACTGCAGACTCTCCAGGGCTTGTCATTTGTCAAGTCCCATTTAAAGAGGCAACTCATTTCAATTATTTGAATGAATTCTACTGGGTTTATTTATTTAGGGGTAAATGTAGCTCACTTCCATAAATTAAGCTTTCTTTCTTTTTTGGTTTGGTTTGTTTTGGTTTGGTTTGGTTTATCCATGGATGTCCAGTGAAGAAAAATTTGTATCATATAGTATGCACATATACACAGCAGTACATCTTTGGCACTCATTCAATTCCCATTGTTACTTTTTCATGTGCAGTGCCACCTTCCCTAAATGTCACAGTGAAATTTATCCATAAATTGTCATTACCACTGGAAATCAAATGTGTTACATTTGAAGACGATAGTTTTATTATCCATGGTTCTAGCAGAGGTAGATGGCTTATCATTTGTAGAATAAGGTATTTGGTATTGATCTTGGGGGGGAAGCAAAAATGCTTATTTTCCAATAACTTCAGGATCGTGCATAACATGCAGAAATGAAAGCTAGAGATTGCTTACCACTTCTGGTGATAAATTTCCTCAAGTAATTCTGACATGTACCTGCAACTAGTGATAAAAGAAGTGTTTGTGCTGTTAGTCCTGTTCAGTATTTTATCAGTAATGTCAGATCTGTTGTGACTCAGTTGGACCGTCACAATGTGTAACCTATATACTAGTGTTCGTGGCTTTCAGATGTCTTAAATGTTGCATGAAATTATGTTACAAAAAATAGATATGTTTTCTGTTTTTGAATACCTCAGAAGTGAGGGATCATGGGCCAATAAGTGCAATATTTAATTATTTACTCAGTGTATATAAACTGTGTGAAAGGGAGATGCATCATGTATGTGTGATAAGCTGTTGATGATGCCTTTGTGGCTTAAGATTTACAGTAGATGTACATGTCTTTTAGAAAAACTCTATAGTAAACACTTTACCAGTGTAGTGTGAGGATATTCTTAAGTAACTTAAACTATTTTTCATATATGAGACAATGGTAAAAGATATTTGTATGTTTACTGCAAGTGCATGTCAATTTTACTTTTAGAGTTGTGAGTGTCCTTTTCTGAAAACTGTCATGTTACACCAAGACAAGCAGGACAGCACTTTCAGTCAGAAGATGCCTGTAACCATTGCTAGACTGTCCACCCATATTTTAAATCATGTTCTCCAGAAGCATTAAAAGAACCTCTCAGAGCTCAGCAGTTACACTGAGTTAAAGAATCAGTTACATGCTCTGTTTGCCTGTATTGTATAATATCATGTGAGCATGTTTTCTTTAATCTGATACTGTTAACTCATAATACTTACCTGAAATACTAAATAGGGGTACCCAATATGCTTGCAGATGACTTGTCCAACTCAGGTGGTGACCTGGGTTAACATTTTTGGGAACAGCTTGAAGGTCACACTCAGCAGCACAGCACAGTGGATGGTGACCTTAATTAGTCACTTCTGACAATTAAGTTTCTTAACTTCTCTAGATTCTAAAGATGGAAGACACATCCTTAAATATACTGACCCTCATTCTTCACTCCACTGTTACATGTCACTCAAAGTTCAACAACTCCACTATTAGAAGTAAAGCTGAGGTACAAATGGAAACAAAATGCAGGTCAAAATCTAACCATGAAATTAACAGGAGACATCCAATAATTTATTTTTCCTTTCCTGCTAACCTTACATATTTCTAGAAGTTCTCAAAGAACACGAGCAAGGCCATTACTACTCAGCAACACCCTTGGGTATATTTGGGACCTTTAAACCCTAAATCACTGATCCGCCACGAGTTCCCAGCCATGCCCACAGAGTCTGTTAATTCTTGCTACAACTTTGGTTTCAGAGGAATGTGTCTTCTGTCTTGGGAATTTGCCATAGATATAAATATAGATATAGGCCACTGTGTCTGGGCCATTGGAGGAA